TTCATTAATCCTATTAAATAGGTGCCTACTTGTGCAACCAGCACAACCTGTTTCCTAGCGGCAAGTAAGGGAGTGGTCTAATTTGGTAACCTATCCTGATGTACTCCGTGAAAAATGGGGTCGGTCGAGAATACTACCCCAACTCCAACTGCTGGGGGGATCGAGTAAATAATATGACCGGAGTGAATTTTTAGGAATACACTAGCCGTGCCTCCTTGAAGGGAAAGCTAGAGGAATAGAGGTCTTTGGAGTCAGCATGGTGGGGTTTTTATAATAGTTCGATAATATTTCTTGCCGTTAATTTGGCCAGGTTACACGTTCTCACAACACAGGTTCTGAATGCTCCCCTTTTTGCGAAAAAATAACAAATTAAACTAAGAGATACGAAACTGTTGAAGTAAGCATATTGTTCAGACCAGGTTTTCTGATATACTTTTAGTTGAATGCTAATATCAGGTCTTCTGCCCAGGGGGACCTCGAAGAAGAGGGGCAGACCTCTCACTTCCATCGCCAACGTAAACTCTATCAATGGATACGCAGCGCCTGAGGGAGCCTTTACGTCCGAGTTCGCAGTTGCAGCTGCAAATATATCGTCCATGGGGCGATCATGATGCCTTAGTCTATTGATTTGGTCGCTCGGTTGCAATTTTTCCAGTTTGGTCATGAATATAAAGACTAGAAGACGGAGTCACTATGGCCTCGCCTTTTGGTTCTCTTTTCCCCTCCTCCCCCGCCCCCCCCCCTGACACGGCTCTTCCCAACCGTCTAACCGTTCACTCCAACCTGATTAGACGGATGCCGACTTCTTCTCATTCTCCTCGTACTTCTATGGGAAGATGAACACAATACAAGATTTCTCTTATTAACCGCGTGTTTAAATTAACCCCCTTACCACTGGCCTGATGAGAATCTACCAAACGTAAACGCGCGCTCGACAAATAAAAATTAATAGCTCACAAAGAAGTGCTTGACGGAAGGAAAGCATCACTATTTAAACCCATAGATGCGTACATCCTTGGGCTGTAGACGTCACCAAAGAATTCAAAGAAGAGCGTTACGCACTGGTCGGTTCTCCTACAGGTTAATTCTTCCCAACACAAGCTAGCGCAACGACCTATCAGAGAACTGCAGCCAAACTGGCGCCAGCCTGTGACCCACAGACTAACAGCTGCATCCCACTTTATTGAGTAAATTAAGATCTCTTATGTTTCCAACGAATACATGGCCTTTTCGGATGCGGAATCTATATTTCGAGTCGCACCAGTCGATGAAAAATAGAAGTCACGTGTACTTCTATGCACGAAACTATGCATCAAAACCTTTTTCTTCCCTTTTGACACTGGGAAACTCACTGGGTCTCGTTTTTGAGGACATTTCTCTAACTTGCCTCCAAGCAAAAGTTTCATCACAGGAAATCCGTTGATGATTTGCGACGATATACTTGCTGTCGTCGAAAAAAAATGGGAAGGATAAGGATCTCACTATTAACACTAGTAGTCTGCATCCTATGACTGAATTCACTATGGAGAGGAGACATGACAACAAGCTATCTTTCCTGGCCATCCTTGTGCACTGATAGGAGGGTGGGTTAATGGGGCAGCTAGCCCTCCATAACATACACGGACAGGAAAATATCTGCATTTCTTGAGTTTGTTCCGAGAAAACGCACGATAAGCCTTATCTGCACTCTTCAACGGAGCAAGAAAAGTTTTATTACGTTGATCAGCGGATTTAGGCCTGTAGTGAAACAGCCCAGTCTGAACCTTATAAACATACCTCGTCAGACCAGCTCATGCAACACACACACAAACTTGCTGACTCACTGACAGAAAATGCATACGTTATGTAAGTGGTAAGCGGACTGTATGTGGAAGGTCATGTTTTGCATACGTCAACGGGCTGTTGCAGTTCTATCAAACATTGCGCCCAATTCCGGCACCAGATGACTGACAGGCTCTGAGACTCAAATGCTGCACGGGAGAGGGAAGAGAGAATGAGGTCGACTCTGGGGACTCCAACGTCAAGGCATTACAGCGCATTCCTCATTATAGTAAACCTGCAACCCTTGAGTCTAACACGACGCGCTAAAAGTCGTGGTTTGGAAATCTGCCATGCTGACGGGGTAAGTCGGCCCGTCATGTGTGTATGCGGGGGTGACTGACTTAAGGGCTAAGAGTCAGGCTGTACTGGCTCCTTCCGAATGTGACACTCCAACTAACATGAGATTCTGGCCGCCTTGCTGTTGTTCAAGAACTTGGCCCGTGATGCGAAAACCAGGTCGTGTGTGCGGCGCGCGTAGACGGAACGTGTAGCCTTGACAGCCACTACACCTGAGCTCGCCTCGGATTGTCCTGACTCTGCCATGCCCCCGGACCAGGTGGCTGGGGGATAAGAGGGTGTGCTGGGTGCTAAGCACGTTTGCTATCCCTATAAGCCAATTCACGCGCAAATCACTGCCCTGTTCGCACGGTTGACATCGTTGCATGCAAAGGTTGAACTGTCATACCAGTTCACTTTCGTAGTCCTGAACGCGATCACCTACCCATATTCCCCATGGTTCAATTAACACTCCTTGTCAGTTGAATTGTTGCTTTGCGCGCAGTTGTCTCTCAGCGTGACGCCCTCCCTGATTGGTTGCAGGCTGGCGTGGCTCAGACTCTGCTCAGACCTCGTACAGCCAATCTCAAAAATAGCGGCTGGCTCTTAACGTGGTTCGCTAATAGCCTCTTAGCATCATGAATGTTCTCTGCATAGAAAGAATCGTTCAGCCAATTCTACCCCCTAGCTTCGGATTTAGAACACTCGGCAACATAACAGACTTGTGATTTGCCTGGCTCAAAACGACGGACGGACACTCGTTGTGACGCCGCCCTAAAATAGCCGCTTGAATGGGCGCTCGTCTTTCATCCTTACGATGTATCTGCGCCACCGTTGTTGGATTTGCCTCAAGATGGCACAGATGCTGAGAACTCCGGTTCGTTCTAGGACTTCCACGTCCGGGAATTTGTCTTGCCGCCCCTATAGCGGCAATCTTCGGAAGCAGCTGAGGTGTAAGTGATCGAGTTGCCTGGATTATTTGACGCAGACTGTTCACGTCAGGACTAACGACCTGTAAATCTTGAATTTTATGTTGATTTGAAGTTCGCGGCGGTTCTAGGCTGGGGGCTATAGCCGGCCGAAGGCCTGGCTGGTTCTGGAGATCCGGTGAGCCACTTCACCGCCATTCTTGACATTTCTTGAAGCTCAGAAGACGATGATGCGATCACTAGAACAAGAAATTTATTGGCCTGACGTTTCGGATTCTTACTCAAATCCATCCTCAGAGACATTCGCAGATAAACGGTCTCACGGCAGCCACGTGCTATAAATACTGCACCCCTTGTGCCACCATCACCTTTATCTGCGAATGCTTCTGATGATGGATTCGAGTGAGAATCCGAAACGTCAGGCCAATAAATTCCTTGTTCAAGTTATCGCATCTTCGTCCTCTGAACTGCTGCCTGGAACTCGCCTGTTCGCTTCTATCAGCATTTCTTGAAGCGGTACCTCCAAGGTGTGCGAATATGGCCACTGATGCAAGCTGGCTTCCACCGATGCTGACATGGGGTTCACTGTATTCCCCGTTGGGAGTCCTTTAGTGCATGACCACCATCCTCCCCGCCTTGATCGGCAGTCCGAGCAACCGGAGGCAGAGATGACCATACCTCGCAATATTTCCTCATACATTCTGATCTTTAGTGCGCAGTCATCTGCGAATAGTAGGCCGTGGAAAATGACCTTGAATACTACCAAATATGCTTTTAGACGACCAGTGCTTAGCAATTCTCCCTCAGTTCAGTAGCTGATGTCCTTCCGCGTCTCTCCGCACGGCAAACGTCCATCGGCATGGTGATGAACATCAGAATGGGGAGGGTGGGAGCGAGTGCGCAGGCCTGCCTCACCCCACTGGTTACTAAGAATAATTCGGAGATTGCTTTGCTGTCCGTGACGCGAGCCACCATCCCACCGTGAAGTTGGCGTATCATTTGCATGAAATGCCCCAGACATCCTAATGCCATCATTTTTAGCCAGAGTTCATCGCGATTGACTCTGTCGAAGGTCTTCATTAAATCGTCGTGTAAATATTGGTCTTCATCTCTTTTCCCTTCTTCTGTAGTTGATAGGCTGCGAAGATCATGCTGACGCTTCCGCGGCCCCTACAAAATTCGTAATGTCTTTTTGGAGAAGTCTCTGTTCCAGGTGCGTGCTCAGACGGCTGAGGAGGACCCGTCAGACTGATTACATACTAGTCAGTTCAAGGTTCAGCAGCTAGGTTCACGATAGCAGATCGATGCGTGATGCCGAGACTGGTAACGCCCATGGGTCGGATCATGTCCTCATTCGTACACGCTTGAAAGTTCATCTCTTATCCGCGCCAAAAATGCCATGTCCTAGGCGCCTCGTTGTCGCAAAAATCCGGCAAACCAGCGCTGCTGAGGCCCTGAGCAGAGAAATCCGGACCTGTTTTACGACCCTAGCCGACGAAGAAGGCAGTAACCAGTGGTTGTCACTAAAAACATCAGTCTATGGTGCAGCTGAGAAAATCCTTGAATACACCCAGCGACGCCGCAGTGACCGGATCAGCGGAAAAACTCTGTAGTTGTCTGTTCGGACGGCTCGATCCAGGTCCCGTAACGATGACTGCTTCCACTAACTTCGGAAGATGACGGCAAAATCGGCCAGCGATGACCGGAAGCAATATTGGGCTGAAACAGCGACCTCCATGGAACAGGCCTCGAAAGTTGGTGACACTCGAAAACTCTACCAACTTATCCGCTAAGTTAGCGGTAAGCCCTCTACACTGAGTGGTTCTGTTCGCGACGTGAACGGCGGCTTTATTGTTGACAACTCGGCCAAAGTCGAGCGCTGGCGTGAGCACTTCGAGAACCATCTCAACTTCGATACCCAGTCCATCACGCCCTTGCTCTCCTCTTCAGCGGAGATTCTTCCTTCTCCCACCTATGCAGCGCCATGCAACCCCTAACCCCAAACCCATAAAAATCGACCACTTACTGCAAATGTTTGCTTTCTGCCAACAAACCTTCTTCACCTTCAATGGCAGAACATACGAGCAGATCAAAGGAACGCCGATGGGTTCGCCAATATCCAGCCTGGTTGCAGAACTAGTCCTGCAGGAACTGGAAAAAGTCGCCTTCGATCACTATGAACCTGCATTTTGGCGCCGGTACGTGGACGACACGTTCGTCATAATTGAAAGGAGCAGACTGGCCGACTTCCAAGACCTGCTCAACGGCATCTTCCCAGACATCCAGTTCAAAAGGGAAGAAGAGCATGCCGAACAGCTGCCTTTCCTTGACGTTCTCGTCACACGCACACCCAACGGCGAACTCAACACCACGGTGTACAGAAAGGCGACTAACACGACTCAGATTCTCAACTACCACAGCAACCACCCAGTGGCGCATAAACGCAGCTGTGTTAGGACACTCTTCCAGAGGGTAAAAACGCACTGCAGTGAACCAGAGGAATGGATACCCGAACAGCTTCGTCAGCCGCTGCCTCCGCACGCGCTCACGGCGAACAAACGGAGGAGAGCCACCAACACTCTGGCACCCTCTGCCATATATAAAGAACGTATCCGAAGCGATGGAACGTATCGCTGGAGAGCTCGGCGTGGGTATCGCTCACCGTCCGACAGCGACCATGCGAAGCAAAATCATGCAAGTGAAGGATCGCCTAGACGTGGGTGAACAATCGGGCGTCGTCTATCAGATCCCATGTCGGGACTGTCCTCGCCACAACACTGGACAAACCGGACGACGACTTAGCTCACGAATAACGGAGCACAAACGGGCGGTCCGGAGAGGCGACCCGTTGTCTCAGGTCGCCAGTCACACCCTGGAGGAAGGCCACGAATTCAACTTTGCGAGCACGCGGATAGTGGCGCGGGCCAGCAATAAGACAGGACGAGAACTGTTAGAGGCCTGGGTGTCTGACACCAACGCTATCAACAGGCACGTTGATATACCCCCCTGCTATCACGCGCTCCGTTCCCGCGGCCAAGGGGCGAGACCCAATTTCCAGCCAAGGGTGCACGCAGTCACGCCGCCGTGAGACGGCGTGGGACGCAACTTATCGCGAATACCACCCTCTGCACTCATATCTCCTCCCCCCCCCTTCATGGCGTGACTACAAAAACCACTCATTTGATGTTGCCTTCTCACAGTTTCTGACGATGGCCTCCTGTACGAGACCGAAAGCTCAGACTAATAAACCCACTGTCCCAGAGATCGGGTCTTCATCTTCTATGCAACCCTCCCTCTGACAGACAATTCGTCGATGTCTTACGAAAACTACGCAACAATAAGGCACCCGCAGAGGACGGTATACCCGCTGAAATCTTTAAGTCTTGTGTCGACACTCTGGCGCCCTGGCTCCATGAGGTGATTGAACGAGCGTGGAGAGACGAGGTTGTTCCTGATGACTGGGGCTTAGGCATCCTTGTACCTATCCTCAAGAAGGGAGATAAGACGAGATGCGAGAACTACCACGGCATAAGTCTCATCGACGTTGCTGCGAAGATCTTCACAATTGTCCTACTCAGACGATTTCAGGCTGTGCGTGACTCAAGGACGAGGCCCAACCAAGCCGGATTTTGTGCTGGACGTGGATGCGCAGACCAGATATTCACCCCGAGACGCAGTATCGAACTTCGCCATTGCTACTAACAACCGACGGCTGTCTGCTCCATTGACTTTGCCGTCGCGTTCGATCCCGTCCATTGTGAATCCCTGTGGCAGATAATGGCGCTAGATGGTGTACTGGCAAAAATCACCGCCATGATCAAGGCCTATTATCGTTCCATTACTGCGAGAGTCCTGGTCCGCAACAATCTTACCCAACCGTTCGGTATTCGGTCTGGCGTTTGACGGGGTTGTATCCCGTCACTCATTCTGTTCAACTATGCTTTTGACTGGGTCCTCGGCAGGGCCTTACGCGAAGGTGACGGCGTTGAGGTTGCACCCGGACACCGGCTCAATGATCTCGACTATGCCGACTATATCGCCTTACTTGCTTCAAGTTTTTGTGATCTGCAGTCTATGGCGTCATGGGTGAACGAGGTTGCTACATCTGTCGGTTTAGGCATAAACGTTGGGAAAACTAAAGTTTTTTCGAGCTGCATCCCTGACCAGGAGAGGAGATCCCTTGGGATTGATGGCTGTCAACTTGAAGGAGTAGACAGTTTTAAATACCTCGGGGCGAGACTTCTGCCTAATGGACAGAGTAAGGACGACATTGTCTCCCGAATCGATACTGCCCGACGGGTTTTCTAAATCCTAAGAAAATGTCTATGGATCTGACGCGACATCTCCATCGCCACTAATATTCGCGTGTGCCGTGCATCTGTCCGGTCTGTCCTTCTCTACGGTTGGGAATGCTGGGCTTTGCGCGTGGCGGATGAGCTAAAACTGGAGGTATTTGACCACCACTGCTTGAGGATCATCCTTCGAGTGAAGTTCACCGACTTCGTCTCAAATGAGAAAGTCCACAGACGCTGCGACAACATCACATAGATAACTCAGGCCATCTAAGAAAGACGACTGATGTCGTTTGGGCATGTTCTTCGTCGTCCACCTCAGGAGCTCAGTGTTGTTGCCCTCGATCCGGCACCGTTACCCCGTTGGGTCGTCGAAGAAGGGGTAAATTCAAAACCTGACTCGACACAGTTCGTCAAGACATGGGGGTGGTTCTTGGATCTTCGGTATTCTGTCTACGTCATTGACGAAGAGAATGGGTTGAGCTGTCCAGATCTGCTGCCGCGGATTGTCACACGTAGAGAGGTACAGTTCGTGAAATCAACGAGGCCGGCTAGATCAGGCATGATCGTAGCCGTATCAAGTACAATTAAGTAAGTAAGAGTGAAGATTTCTCCTGAAATATTGAGTGGTAAGACGTCTCTGTGATTATCAGAGAGTAGTCGGTATCCTTTGCAATCGGATATATGGACGCTGGTTGCACCTTTGTAATCTTGAGGGACTTGTCCCTGCCGCCACATTTTCTGAAAAAGGAGGGTCAGCTAGTCCATAAGCCGAGGGCCACCGTACTTGTAGAATTTAGCCGGGATTACGTCGGACCCCTGTGCATTCCCACTGGACATATGGTGCCCATTCCGCGAAACTGTGCTGTCTAGGTATACAAGTTTATCCACGGAAGCGAGCTGAGCTCCAGTCCATGTCTGGTGGCGGTAGCTGCATGACCATCGTCTTCTCCGCGTTTATGGTTAATCAGAAGTTAACGCAACCCGCGGCGAAGGGATCTGTGCTGCTTTGTATGGTCGCTTCCGTTATTGTATTGAGTGAACAGTCATCCGCGAACAGGAGGCTGTGAATGCCGCTCTGGGATACTCTCAACCGTGCTTTCGTGCGCCGTATGTTGAGCAGTTATTCATCGAGCCGCTGGGCGATGTTGATGCCTGGCCGCTTCTCGTGGTGGTGAGCACGGGGCTGAAGAGGGTAGGGGGCGAGTACCATCCTCCTCCTTCTCTCCCTTGGTTACCACGAACGCTTCAGAAACTGGTCCGTTTTCCGTGACTTGAACCATCGTTCCGTCATGTGGCTGGCGTATCGCGTGTATAAAGCGCTCCAAACATCCGAATTTCATTATGATCCTCCAAAGTCCGTTGCGATTAACATTGTCGAAGGTTTTCGCCAAGTCCACGACGGTGGTATAGAGGCCTGTCCGAATTTTCTGGCATTTCTCTTTTAAAAAATCAATTTGTCAAACACGTGTTTTCGGCAACTCTTCATTAGGCCAAAACGGTTACAAAAAAGTTTAAATTATGCCAATTTACAGGACTTATAAGTGAATCAGGGGCTAATAGAAGCGAAGAGCCGAGTCCCAGGAAGTAGTCTTGAAGAAGGAGACACGACCGCCGGGACAAGAGCTTTATTAGCCTGACGTTTCGGATTCCTACTCGAATCCATCATCAGAGACAAAAGAGCAGAAACGGGTGGTTGTTGCACAAGGGGCTGCGACCGACAGACGCATGGCGAGACCCCAAGATACGGCTTTGGCCCGATTCTATGGCCTCCCTAAGGTGCACAAAGACGGCGCTCCTCTCCGACCCATCGTGTCGCTCAAAGGGACTCCAACGTACGGACTGGCTAAGTGGCTGTTCCGGCGTCTCAAGTTCCTGACCGCTGAGTCAGACACCACGGTCTCTTCGTCAGCACAATTCCTGGAGAAACTCAAAGGGGTAAGCATCCATCCAAATGAGGTCATGGAATCTTTTGATGTTACATCCCCTTTTACTTCTATTCCCCAGGACCTGGCGATCGAGACAATTGAACTGCTACTACAAAGCAAATACGATGAAACGGAGAACCGTCTTGGACACGCCCAAATCCTTCAGCTCCTGAAGCTCTGTCTCAGAACGTACTTCACGTTCGACGGGACAATCTACGAACAGGTGAAGGGCACACCAATGGGTTCGCCGACTTCGGGATTCATCGCCGAGGCGGTCCTGCAACGGTTAGAGTCGCTGGTCTTCCAACACCACAGACCGAAATTCTGGGCCCGGTATGTGGATGATACCTTCGTCGTCATCGAACGGGATCAGGTGTTGACGTTCCAAGAACATCTCAACGCCGTCTTCCCGGACATTCAATTTACGATGGAGGAGGAAGAGAACAACCAGCTGGCCTTCCTGGATGTCCTCGTATGCCGCAAGGATTGTGGTGGACTAAAGACCAAAGTGTTCAGGAAAGCGACAAATACGATGCAAGTACTGAACTTCAACAGTAACCACCCAATCAGCCACAAACGCAATTGTGTAAGGACGCTCTATCGACGTGTCGAAACGCACTGCAGTGAGCCGGAAGACAAAATTGCTGAACTACAATACCTCCGACGGGTCTTCAAAGCCAATGGCTACCCGCGCAACTTCGTCGACCGGTGCATACGCAAAAGGGACGAAAGGCCTAACCGCACGGACACCAAGTCTTGGCGGGCACTTCCGTATGTCAAGAACGTTTCGGAAGCTGTCGGCCGCCTTCTCGCACCACTTGGGGTTGGAGTGGCACACAGACCGGAGGCAACCATCTGGCGTCTGATCATGAAACCGAAAGACCCACTGCCACGGCTAGAAACGTCTGAAGTCGTTTATCGGATCTGGTGCAGTTGCGGACAAAGCAACTACGTCGGAGAAACCGGAAGACAGCTCTGAACGAGAATGGCCGAACACGCGGCAGCGGTGCGCAGAAATGACGCCAGCTCTCAAGTTGCAGCTCATTCGACGAGATCCGGCCACACATTTAAATTCGATGGGGCCGAAATTCTCGCAAGAGTTGACAACCGAGTGAGCCGGGAGCTACTGGAATCATGGTTTACTGGCCCCCAGTCCATCAACAAATGCAACGATCTTCCCATTCCATACTCCGTACTGAAATTTCGCCTAGGCGGGGTAACAAGCCATGCGGGGAGCGCAGAGGTGAACACTTTTTCCAACACCCGGGTCAACGTGTCAGATGGTCGAGCAATCATCACGCCAACATCCAACGCACGTGATGAAATTGCAGCAATTATCGACTCGAATGTCGGCCATCAAGCAATGATCACACCAAGTGCGACAATCCCGGATGAAAGGGGGAGCCGTTCATAGGTATGCGGTAGCGTGGCTGTTGCATCCTATAAATACCGCAGCCCCTTGTGCAACAACCACCCGTTTCTGCTCTTTTGTCTCTGATGATGGATTCGAGTAGGAATCCGAAACGTCAGGCTAATCAAGCTCTTGTCCCGGCGATCGTGTCTCCTTCTTCATGATTCAGGGGCTATTAACACCTATCGTTCCCACTCCATTCGCATGACGAGGCCTGCTATGGCGTGGTCGGCGTTTCGTGGTCGTTGGGTCAAGGGGGCGAGGGAGAGGGGGGACATAGTCTGTGAGTAATGTTTGTACGCCGGGCACGTTGTGCACGCACCACTGCCATCAGGAGGTTGGGGCGACGTTGGGGTCGGCGTTTGGTCACGGAAGACAGAGCGCCTGTGTCGGAGTCTTCAGACAGCATAGCACTGGATTGGCTAGCCGTATAGCCACTGCCTCGGCCGTAGCTAGCACCCGTTGGCGTAGGTCTCTGGATGGCGAAGATCGTGTCGTCAGAAGCCAAACTGCCAACACCGTTTTCAACGTCAGTGTCTGTGAGCCGAATTGCCGAGTAATTATCACGTCACCATTCAACACGGGTGATGCAATTGCGGCGATTAACGGCTCGAATGCCGATCGTCAAATAAGTATCGCACCAGGGAACAAAATTCTGCAATGAAGGGGGAGGCGTTAACTTTGTCAGGTATGCGGTTGCTTAGCAATTTCGTCCTATAAGTACTGCAACCCCGCGTGCATGAGTTAGCCGTATCTGATGCTGTTGATGGGTCCGAACATGAGTCCGAATCGGCCACTGCTGCCTGAGAGGGCAACTCAGGATTGTGTATACAACAACCCCCCTAATTCTGTTGACTCCTGTCTTTTCCCTTAAACCGAAATTTGGCCTGATGATTGTAGCGTTCCAGCACACACACACTCTTAGCGCTGAGAGGCTACAAATTCACCCTCCCCAGAGCAGCGGACGACAGTCTACGTTTGTTTCTACCTTTTAACTCCTTTGACGTCATTGCTCCTGATCTACCCTCGCGTAACTTCAGCCAACTTCTTCTGACTGAGAGGGGAGCAGGCTCGCAGTGTTCTTGAAGTGGCCGGCGTGTCTGCGTCGTCATTCCTCAGACATTGCTAGCCAGTCAAGAATGCCGAGGAATCTTGCATAGCGACGGCTGTCACTTCGTTACAAGAGGGTGTAACAAAAATGCTCGTGTTTTCGACGCTCCAAAAGTACACATTTACTGGGTAGGACACGGGAATGAGGACCCCTCTCCGGAGTACAGGTGGTGCTAGCTAGGTTCCAAGGAAATTAAGGTCGAGGTTAATACTGAGTTAAGTTCGAGGTCCGAGTTTGATTTAGGGCCAGGTCAGAGGGATAGGTATTCTTCCTGGGATTTAGGCCAAGAGGGTTCCCTTTCCCGCGCTCTACCTTTTGATCTGCTGCGAAGGTTTAGATGCGCACGAATGCTTGCTGATGCGTTAGCTCATGGCGCGCTTCGTCAGGCTGCTCTGAGTCCGCGCGAGCTCACAACTAATTCCGCACATTAATAATAATAATAATTTTTATTGAAGACCCGCCGGGGTCCCATCAGGCATGTTGTAGCAGGCCTAGGCCCAAGCTCCATGCCGCCCCCAATCCCAGCACCAGATTGGCTGAAAGGCTCGGACAGCCGACTGGTGCACGGTAGAGGACAGAGAGAGAGAGAGAAAGGTCAGCACTGTGAAAGCCTATCCCACGGCACCTCAGCACATTTTTCACTAGAGTAAATCTGATGCACATAAATCTATCACAACATGCTAAAAGTTGCGGCTTGAGAGGCTGCCAGGTGACAGGGTTCTCGTGGTCAGTACTGCGTGTATGTGGAGTGACTAATTGGATGACCGGTTACACCTTCCCCCCACCTGCACAAATCAGCCTCATCATCCATCGCAAGCACTTAACTGCCACTGCCCACGCAAGTGGGAAGCGTGCGTCTCGGCTCCCTCTCCTTGCGGCCCCTCTGCTGCATGTGTGGTCCGAATACGAGACTATCGTCGTGCGGCAAGCACCATGGTTCAGAAAGTTGCCAACTAACGCTCCGACCCAGTCCACGCCGTTAGTCTAGTTGTTTGTTTTGTGTGTTGAGAGGCCGACCGGTGGACTGAGAGTCAGACTGAAACAGTTCCTTCTTTACCTGACCTACGGCACTCTCACGCATGTGAGATGCACGCCGCCCAACCCGCGTTGTGTGAAATCCCGGTGTTTGTATTTGTGAGGTCAGGTCGTGCATGTGGCGCGCGCAGACAAGGTCACTGGATATGTCAGCCACCGCGCCCATTCCCCGCACCTGTCAACTGGCCGTCTCGAACAGTGATTGGGGTCTGGGGATGGGAAGGGGAAGTGAGGTCGATGACTAAGCGCACTTTCCTTGCTGTAAACAATCTGACGCGCTTGAAGCTATCACGGTGCGCCAAAAGCCATGGCCTGGAAGGTTGCCAACTGACGGGAGATAGCTTGGATCTCGCAGTCGGCCCAGTGTTGTTTGTGTTTCTGTGGAGCGGCCGACTGGTGGTCTAAGAGTCAGGCTGCAATGGCTCCTTCTTAGTTTGGCCTTTATGCCACTCGCACTCCGTGGGATCCGAGCCGGGCGATGGCGGTACGCCTAGGGGGCGGCCCCTGCCCACTATAGACTATTTCACGCGCAAGTCGCCGTGCCTGCCCTCACCCTGCTGTGGAGTGCACGTCGAACTTCGTCAGTCGCGACAGTCAAACCGTCATAAAATAATTCACATGCATGTCAGCGTCCTAAGCCCACCACTCTGTGAAAGTCGTCATCGCTCGCGGTTGTTGAACAGAACGCTTCCAGGAGAGGTGGTTCTATGCAATACTGTTGGGCAGATGGCCACAGGGAGCTTGAGCAGAGTATAAGTGGAAGCTGCATCATGGGATGTGCTTTCTGTTTTTCTTTCCTCTCCTTCTCCGTCTCATACGACCTATTTAAGACATTTCACGGCCGAAATTCCCATCGACACTGATGGAAGTAATAATACGAGGTTTCTTTTTAGAAAAAGAAGGCAGGCCCCTAACTTCTGGTTGGGCCCCGGAGGGACGGAACATAGCAAGCCGACCAGTCCAGACTATGGTGAGACATGTCTTGCGCGAAAGATACGTCGGGAAGCACGTTTCGCTCCCTTCCATCTCCAGGAATATTTGTTCTTCATAGGCTCGAGCTAACGATCTGCCGAATGGGAATGCGTTCAGTAGACTTCATAACTAACAGTAAATGTAATTATAATGTACTGATCTCTATTGCGGCTACGAAGATGGTAATCAGCAATTATAAGCGGTAAAGCATGAGTAGGCACTGACACTGGGGCGATGATACCAATGACAGCACAACCGGACGATCTAGTGTGCACATGACGAAAAAGCTCAGAGAATCGTCGACGGCGCGCCCTGCCTAGGACACCCGGGACTTTGTGTATGTGCCGGACGAAAGACCAAGCCATTAAAGTAACTAACCACGACGTACAGTTCTTTTTCCTCCCAAATAACAGACCTTGAGAAGAGGGATGGTGCCAACCCCTGCGGTCACACGACTGTCACAGCCCGCAATTACAACTTGCGATATAGTCAAACGTACATGCAGCACTTATGTTACAGCATGTGCAGAAGATTTCCACATCTCTCACGTTTGCTTGAAACTGCTGTCTTCCATTTAAATTGAGTCAAAAAGCTACCGAAGACAGTCTCGAACAAACAATTCAAGCATCTCTTGGGACCCTCCAGTGCTCAAAATTTGCAAAGAAACCTCACGAAATGTCCGATTCAAGTATTGCGACTCATGGTAGGGCGTCTGCGGTAACCGACGCTCTACTCAACTCTGCTCCAGTGGTGCGGGCGAATACTATACGAACTGGACCACTCAATCGAGAACGAAATCTTGGCAGGGGATGCTCGAATGTGCGAACGTTCCAGGATCCTGGTATCCGAACTTTAACGGCGTGCAGTCTTCATTAGTGGAGGGTGCATGCCTGCTGCCTGTCCAAAGTCCGAATCTCCGACTCAGGAGCTAAGAAAATCATGAGCCCCGGAGTCAAATCCTATCTCCCATCCACGTAACTCAGATGTTGGACACGGCGTGTCTATCGCCCGGTTGCAACAGGCGAACCTCGCATTACTTGTATAGGAACCAACCAATGATCGGCTGGTCCACCTACAACCAAAGGGTCACTTTACGAACATCTCTGTCATTTCAGTGTACGCACCAAATTCAGTTACCGACCAACGCGATAAAGAAACCTAATCTCAGATGTAAGAATCAGTTGAAAAGCTTCTTCCCTATGATATTTGCAGGAGACCGGATCTGGTGACTCTTCAAACGGTCACCTTATTGACCGTTTTATATTTGGCTGTCAAAGCGGTAGTGATGACATAATCGTGAACATTCCTGTACATAACCGACTATTTGTCACTAAAATGTGCTCCTCGTATCACCGCAGACATCTGAGGACCTGGTACTCAGACGATAACCATACGACCTGACGTTTCGGATTCTCGCTCCAGCCCATCGTCAGAGACAGTGACAGACACG